AATAATCTGCTCTCAACTGCGCAGACGAGATTACATAAAGGAAAAGGAGAGTCCCATGCCCATCCAACACTTAAAATAAAAAGCCTACTTATTAATTGAAATTCTAATAAACATAACAAGATGCCAAAATAAAAGACTACTAATAATGACAAAATAAATAGCTAGACACGAAGACGATCGTATTTATTTAAAATCTTATTGCGGTCTCGTTTCCATCAACACGTGTCAGTACATGAAATTATGAATGACTTCATAAGGGAGCCATCCGGTGACTCCATAGAATTTTTCTGCCATAGTTAATACTCTAATTGATGTTCAACACGCTATTATTCAACATTGGTATATTTTTTAATAAAGTTCAAATATCTGAATTAAAACTTGGCAACTTTTGAATGGAGCCACCTTAGTCGCACCAGACATGTGAGCCCAACTACTCAAGCACCTTGATATATTTTATACCCAGAATTATTATTATGTTTTATCTTTTACAAAGTAATACTACTATTGATATTAATTTTGTGGGAATAATTTTATCCAACTAAAAGAAATATGCTAGACGTCATGGTTATATTTTTAGATGTGTACTAAATGTCGGCTTAGGCACCAGCTTAAGCAATCGTTTTAGGCGCTCTAACGATTAGGCGGCATCTAGACGGGTTAGACGGTTGTTCAGGTATCCACGTCTAGGCGATTTTGCGCTTAGACGGACAACTAGGCGGTCTTGGCGACGTCTAGGCGTTCATATATTTCTTTTTTTCAAATTTTTTAATTTAGTTTTAAGAAAATAAAAACAATTACAATATGTTCACATGAAATATAACTATATCTATCATTTATTTATACTATTGTAAAAGGAGAAATGATTTTGTAAAAAATTGCACGAACTAAATATTATTATATTTATATTATTTTTAATGGAAAAACTGTAATAACCATTAAGTATCTCAATGAATTAAAATCACAATTAAATATCTCAATAAAATAGGATTCTAACAAAAAAAAATCTCATTAAAAAATAAAATCTAAATAAAATAGATTTAAATATGTAAAAAAAATTAACTTATCAATAAAGAAAAATTAATAAAAGAGAGGCAAACTATTTCAATAAAATTAAATATATTCTTAAATATTATGTGAAACAAATAAAAAGACTAGAAAAGTACGATCCTCAATTTCACAACATATATTATTAAGTATAAAATATTATAGTATAATTTTTTTTTATAGTTCTAAACTAATTACATAACTACACAATAAACAAAGTTGATATAAAATAATGATGTAAAATCTACTTGAAACAAATAACATGAATATAAAACTACTCAAATGTCTTATTCGGAAAAACAGAGTATCATGTAGGATAGATGAGAAAAAATAATAATAAAAAAAAAACACATGATATAATGTGAAAGGAAAAAAATATGTATTTTGCACGTGAATTTATAGACATAATAATGATTATTAAATATAAAAAATATATTATTATTTTATTATTATTATTATTCATATTTATATTTAGTTGCTAGAATTAAAATATCTGAACACAATAATAAATTTATTTGATAAAACCGATAATGTTAATAATATCAAATTTCATTTTAATTATACAATGAATCTAAGAATTATTTACTACATAGTTTAGTTAAAAGGTGTCTTTCATAAAAATAAAGTTAACTACTATTTTAAATAATATTTTTATAGAAAAAAAGTCAATTTTTAAAAAAGAAACAAAAACTTATAAATTAAAATATAATGATAAAAACTACTCTATAATAAAACAATGAATAACATTAAAAAAAATTAAATGCGAAGACACATTGCCAAATATATAAATGAATTTTTATTACTTAAAATATCTTTTATATTTGGTATATTTACAATAATAAAACTATAATTACAACGATTAGTAAAAAAGATAAACACATATCTTATAATAAACGTGTACATATGAATAATAACAAATAAAATTCAGTTAATTAAAAGTAATTGAACGTCCTTGTCAAATAAATTATGTCAACTTTTAATAGGAATATTTTTCCTTAACTACAAAGATCACATTTGATACATGTTTCTATCATGATGAATTATATAAAATATATTAACATACTTTTACCGTATTAATATAAAAATATAAAATACTTTTTTAATATAAAATAAATAATACATAAATAGTTTATATTTTATGAAATATTATTTCAAATACACAAATTATTTTTAATTTCTAATATCATAACCTAATTCTTTCGATTTTTTTGTTAATCACTCATGAAACAAATACATGATTTCACCATAAACTAAACATTGAGAATTCTGATGTGTAAAATATAATTTACATAAAATAAAAAATGGTATTTAATAACTATTATTTTGATATTTAATGATTTGTAATATTTATGTTTGTTAATTTTATATATTTTATTTGAGTTTCAAGATTTCATGATTCACAATAATGAGTTTAAAACATAAAACATGTGTGTATATTTTGTAAAATATTTATACATTATTTAATAAAACATGTGTGTATATTTTGTAAAATATTTATATACTATTTAATTTTTAAATTTACTTACATATTTTACATTGATTACATAAATAAATAATATTAACGCTTTCATTAGATAAAATAAAAAGAAAAATAAGACATACAACTTCTATACCTTTTATAAAAAATAATGACATTGTATGACAACAAAGTTTATAATAAAATAATAATTAAGTATTATATAGTGAAAAAGAATAAGTAAAACTGTTATTTTCTCTTATATCACGGAATAAATATATATACTAAAATAAATTTATATTAGTATAAATGTGTTAGTGAGATAATATATTAATTATTTTACAAGTTAGTCTTAATATGTTCATATTTAATGTTCTGACTAAAAAACAACGCTGATTAAAATAGGTGAAAAATAGATTATAACCCTATTTTTTTTTACTTAATGCTGATTAAAAGTGTTGAAAAGTAAATGAGAACCATATTGCTTTTTAGATTTAAACGGACAAAGCCTATAAAAATAACTCATTTAATATCTATTTCCCGTGTATTGCACGGGGTATGTACTGATAAATAATAATGAATAGAAACTTTTGGAGGAAATGTTTAAAAAAAAATCCATTTGCAAAATGAATTTGAAATAAGTGCTTTAATTATATACAAGCAGTTAGAACTTTTTAACCTAAGTTGCCTACTAAACGACATATTAGAACTTAGAAGTGCGTCGAGATATATAATTTATTGGGGAAGAATCTTTACTGCTTTAGCAAAACTAAATTTAACAGTTACAAAAATGAACGAAATTAAATAGGTGTAATTATGATCAATTAGTGGAGCCATTTGTGGTAGCACGGTAGCACCTCTTGATTTTGCCTTAATGACCATATATACTTGTATATTATTTAATTTAGTAATTATTAGACCATTTTCTGCGCAGCCTCTACTGCAATTAAATAACATGATGAAGAACTATTATTAAGTGTAGTAATCATGTATAATTATTATCATCTCACAAAGCAACAACTTAATTTATACTCCTTCCTATTTTTATTATTTGTCATTCTGATTTAATTGATAATTGATTAAATAAATGTCGTTCTGATTATTTTGTCCATTTTTTTTTTATTTTTAACCCTCTATCTAATACACAATGTCTCTTCATATTCCATCTTCATTAGTGTCTCTTCATATTCTATCTTCATCGTTTCTCATAAAATCCATTAAATATGGTAGGGTTAATGTTGGCAAGATAAATAAATTTTTAATTAGCGTATTGCTTATCAAAACGATAAATAATAAAATTAGGAGAAAATACATGTTTTTTACCTATTTTTGAGAAAATCTATGGCAATTGGAAAATTTAAAATAATGTGCGGCATATATTGTAGTATCTAGTTTTCTGATATTCAATCGTTTCCTTTACCTACTTTTGAGAAAATCTATGGCAATTGGAAAATTTAAAATAATGTGCGGCATATATTGTAACTAGTTTTCTGATATGAACGTATACACGTTATGCATAAGATTAAAATAATTAAGTAAACAATAATACATATTTAAAATGATTTTTTGTTAAATAAATTTGGTCATTATATTGAACTCTTTCAGTTAAATTTTAAGACTTGAGTAAATCAATAATATATATATATATATATATATATATATATTGGACTATTTATTATACTGATTAACCAACGTTATGATAGCTATTATGAAAATTATTGCACTTTGCACACTAACATTATATGATAATATATAATATAATCACTGTAATAAAAAAGCGCAACTAAAAGCAGTTAAAAAAATTGAACACACAATGTGGAGCCAATTAATATATTTATAGATTCACCCAATTAAAATTTCTGGGTCCAAAGAAACAATGGCAAATGAATGAGGCAGATATCATTTTCTGAAAAGGAGGCAAAATCGTACAAGCAAAAGGAATAAACAAAAGATGAAGTTGTAGACAATAAGAATATGCATGAGATGGATAAAATTAATTAGTTTTTAATTTTGAAAGGACTAAAGTAAAGTTGAGCCATCTTTCAATTCCAAAAGTAGTGTTGGACAAAGAGACAAAGGCCATCATATATATGCATATACTATAAGCTTTATAATATTAGTCAATCAAAAGTTAGAGATTTATTTGCAATATGGTCCATATATATATATATATATGGTCCTTTGGTCCCCTCCAACAATTAGAACATCTTTTGGATTTTCTCTGTTGACCTAACCCACTGTTGATGATCAGAACCCTTCACTACCATTGTTTTCTCTCCTTTTCATTCCATCTATACTCTTTAAAACATTATCACTATTTGTTTCCCAAGTTAAAAAGGCACATTTTTTTAACTTCTTATAATAAGAATATTTCAATTTTTAAAATAAAAGAAATTAGTAACAGAAGTATATTGAGGTTTGAGGCCAAGAACTCTTTATATAAGAGATTAATTATTAGATATTATATTTTAAACAATTCATATCATTATTGTACCCAAANTCCATATATGTACAATTATACACTCAGCAGCATATGCAAGCATCACATTACAAACGTCAAGTACAACATTCAACAACCATTTCTTATCTTAATCTTATGACCAGTCTAAAAATGTAGAAGGAAAAAAATAAAATTAAAGGAAAAGACATTAAAATAAAATCCACTAAATTTATAATACTAGCGAAAACAAAGCTTTAAATCCTGAAGAACGACACACAAGAACTCGATCTCGCAATTGCCTCTAAACTGTTGACCAAATCGAGGGCGCACGGGCGGGCGGCCGGATCACCCGCGATGCACCGTAGGGCAAGGTTCATAGCCTCGAAGACCTGATTCTGGTATTTGCTAATTAGGGCCTCATCTTTCTTTATATTTGTATCGACCCACATCTCGAGATGGCAGTCCGAGTAGCAATAACGAGCCCACTCAACGATGCTCTCGTGGATGGCCAGCTCAGCATCGAGTGGTGATTTTCCCGTCAGGAGCTCGATTAAGAGAAGCCCGAATCCGTAAATATCGCTCTTTTCAGTCCAGTCTTTCGAGCCTTTAGTTTCTACAAAATTTGATTTTTTTGCCCAAAAAATTTTTTTTAAAAAAAAATTCAAAGTCATGGATTCTAGTATCCTGCATGGACATGATTACAATATGAAGAAAGATGGAGAATTATGATGAAGCCTTGCAATAATTTGAAGCACTCATTCTAGCTTTTGATTGGAAGCTGATTATTTAGAGGAAAAAAGAATAGCACTAACGATAGTGAATCATGAAAATATATATTCATCACGTACTTTGTACTTGCTACATGAAAGACATTTTTATTTTATTTTTTATTTTTTTATTTTATCACGAGTGACAATCGATTGACCTCATGCATGGATCGCAGCTAATATGATCACAAAAACAAACCCTAGTGTACGTTGAGCATATATATTTGCCTAAACTCGGTCAATTAATCCATGCCCGAAAACTCTAGCAAATATGCATAAACTTGTAATGACACAAACAAAATTAATATTAATTTTAGAAAAAAATCAATTACCTGGAGCAACATAAGGAGAGGAGTCGAAACATTTGGTCACCGAGCCACCAGCATTAACACTCAATCGCAACCGAGCTTCGCCTTTCTGGTCCACCATAACTTTGGTGGGCGAGACCTCACCGAATAAAATCCCAGGCGAACAACCCAAGTGCAAGTACTTAAGTGCCCTTGCAACCCCAACTGCCACCCTTATCCTATGTGACCAGTTCATACACCCAATCACCTCACTCAAATCCTTCCCATCAACATACTCGTAAACCAAAAACGCTCTTTTTTCCGATCGACACATGGCCAAAATCTTCACGACATTCGGGTGACTAATCTTGCTCATTAACTCAATCCAATCCGACCAATAATGAGCCGAAATAATTGAAGTCACCTCTTTCGCCAAGAAGATCTTATTACCCAAAACCGACTTTCCTTTATAGGAAAAAAATCCCGTTTTCCCACTCCCCACGAGATTCTCTTCCTTCACACACGACAAAATGTCATTTATCGTCAACATTTTCGCAATTCCCGAATTCACAAACCAAAATAATTGCCACGTGCCATCTTGGCTTTCTACCCTTTTCGATTCCTTTCGTCCGCACAATTTATTCCCTTTCCTAATTAGGAAGATCGCGACGAATGCGAATATCGTTAATGACGCAAGAAGAAAGGTCATTACAAACCAATGGGTTCGGGTTCGGGTCTTGGCCACAATGCACGGGGGCAATTTGGTATTTTTTTCGCCACCACACAAATGATTCCCGGCAATAGCAGAGGAGCTAATTGACAGAAATGCCCCTGCAGGGGGCAAGCTTCCCTGCAGGTGGTTGTGTGAAATATTGATTTGGCTGAGCGACTGTATACTTCCTAATTTTTCCGGGATTTTTCCGGTCAGCTCGTTCTCAGACAAATCGAGCTGCCCGAGGACTGGCAGATCCGCCAGGCTGGCAGGAATTTCTCCGAAAAGACGGTTACTGCTCAGGTCTAAAGTCACGAGCTTCTTGCAATAAGATAACTGGTGAGGAATTTTGCCTGATAATCGGTTCCCATTCAATTTAATATTCGTCAGCTCTGAAAATTCAACAAATTTTTCGGGAATGCTGCCCGAGAAATTATTCCCTGATAAATCCAAGGTCTCGAGCTTTGTACTGCCAAACGAGCCTGGCAAAGGGCCGGAAAGCTCGTTTGCAGCAAGGCTCAGCATTTGAAGCCCTGGCATTTCCCATTTTCTGTTACTGATCTGGCCCGAAATTCGATTGCTCGACAAATCAAGATAATAAACCAGTGGCAGTTTGGTAAATTCGAGTGGGATTTGACCGGATAGCCAATTTTGCTGGATTCGGACTCGTTGAAGACTTTTACAGAGGCTCAAGCTAGCCGGAATTTCGCCTTCCAAACTATTTGAAAACAGGATGAGCTTAATTAATTTTCGGGACGCGCATAAATTTTGCGGAATTTTTCCGGTGAGATTATTGGTCGAAAGGTCTAAAACAGTTAGATTGTTGTTTTTCCCGAGTTCTCGAGGTATTTCGCCTGATAAACTGTTGGACCAGAGCTGAAGGATTCTGAGATTAGGCAATGAAGACAGAGCAGAAGGGATTTTTCCTGAGAAATTATTGGAGAACAGCTGGAGAATTTCCAAATTCTGGAGGTTTATCAGCAATTCCGGAATTTCTCCATACAGGGAATTATCACTCAGATCAAGTGACACTAATTTCTTGAGATTGAAAATAGAATTTGGTATTTTCCCACTGAGTTTATTGAAATACAGAAAAAGGTACTCAAGATTGGTGAGGTTGCCTAAAGATGAAGGGATTTCACCTGTTAGATTGTTATAAACGAGGTCAAGATGATTGAGAGAGGAAAGTTCACCAATTTCCCTCGGAATTCGGCCCGAAAAATTATTATAGCCCAAATAAATCCATTTCAATCTCTTCATCTGGCCTAATTCCCCTAAAATCTCACCTGTCAACTGATTTGAAGCCAGGGTGAAAAATTCCAGCTTCGTCAAGTTCACAATCGAGCCCGGAATTCCACCGGATAATGCGTTCCCTCCAAAATCAAGAATCCTGAGGCCCGAAAAAAGCCCGATATCCTCTGGAATTCGACCCGAGAGCATATTGTTTGATAAATCGAGGGTATGAAGAGAAGGAAGGTAGAGGCCACTTGGGATGGGCCCGGTTAGGTTGTTACTGCTTAAATTGAGGTAGTTGAGATTAAAACAAGACAAAAGAGTTGTTGGGATTTGGCCCGAAAACTGGTTGTTTGATAAATCGATGGATTGGATATAAGGTAGTCGGAAAATGGATTCAGGGATATTTTCGGATAAGTTTTTTCCGGGGAGTTGGATTTTGGAAACGCGGGAAGAGTGTGAACATTTGATTCCATCCCATTTGCAGTGTGAGAGGGATGAATTCCAGTTTGCGAGTTGATCGTTTAATGAAGAAGACTTTAGGGGTAAAAGAAGATTAGCCTCATCATCATCAATCCCTTTGCATGTGGACACTAATAAGTTGATGAAGATGAAGATGAAGATTAACATAATTGTCTCCATCGATTTCACCATTTTCGACTTCAATATTGGCTTCGAGCGTACTGAGGGAAAGAAAAAACAAGAATAAAAATATCAAAAGGAAAAAATCAGTTGAGCATAAAAAAAAATAAAAATAAAAATAGAAACACCAGCTTTTTTATAAAAGACTTTCAACAAATGTACAAATCATAAGAAATGCATGTTGATTGTTGCCTATTGTCATCATAATGAGCATAGCAAGAAAAATAAAAAATTAAAAAAGCAACAAGCAAAGTAAGCACACTTATTAGCAAGTGCAGAAATTTAAGATTATATAATTTTACCAAAAAAACGCTTGCATGAGATAAATCCCAGAAATATATGGACACAGGAACACACAAAGAAANATAGATAGAGGACTTTTTGGGGACCCAAAATATTAATTTTCGAAGCTTTGAGTTTGTTTATTTATTATTTATTTATTTTATTTTATTTTATTTCTTTTATGTTCTTTTAATTTTTTGGCGTCAAAGCTATAAACTTGTGAAGAATATATTTTATTTATTTTATTTTATTTTATTTCTTTTAAGCATTGTGAAAGCACACGAATGCTTTAAAGTGGGATGGAAAAAGAAAAGGGCAATGGACAGATGTTGGGGAAAAGGCCATGAGGTTTTGTGGGATATTACGAAAATGCACTTTTGACTGAGTGACAAGGAAAATGTGTAACCGTTGAGACTCGAAAGTTGGTGAGCCCATGCTGCTCTCGCCTTCCTTTCTTTGGAACTATTTACATCATCACTGCAAATATGGTGTGAACTTTTCCTTCATTTCTTAGCTGTTAAAGAATAAAGTTACGCATAGCCAAACAAATTAAATTTGAAATTTTGGGGAATTAACAGAAATGCGCAGTAAATAATAATAATTGAACCTTCAAGAGAGCATCACACTCTCTATTCAGAACTCTTTCATTAAAGAAAGTGTTTGACCTATTACAACTAGAATTTACAATGAGAGTTCTCTCTTCCTAACCTACGAAGTAATCACTTCATTCAACTAATTTTCAGGCCACTCCTCGTGGGTACTTTTACAACACAGAATCCCTCACGATGTAAAAAAAACCTTCATCCAAACACCTCTAAGGTTCAAGTAAATAACTCACACTCAAACCATAGAACAGACCCTCTAATTACTCAATAGAATGAAAATGAAATGAACACTATTCATCAGTCTTCCTCTCAACTTGCACATAACACTAAAAAATAATCAAAAGACGTAAGTGAACAAGAGTATCTGCAAGGTAAGTTCTTACAGTCTGCCGCTTTCCTTAGACAATCTTCAATCATACCATCGGTTGCAATCTTCCTTCCTTGGCAAGTTTTTCTTGCCGCATTCACCTCTCTAATTCAGGTAAGTGCCGCAATTTTCCAATCTTCATGAAGATTTCCTTGTGCTTCGTAAGGCATGCAATCCTCTATTCCGGTTCCTACAAAATAATTAAACAAAACCTAGTCCATAATTAAATAGACTACAAAATAAAGTAATAAAATAAATTAAAACTTTCCTTAGACTTGGAGAATTTCTTCTTGCCGATTTGATCTTGGTAGATATGACTCGGGATTTCTGATTTAATTCCAAACACATTAATTTATTATAATCTTCCCCATTTAGCATATAAATCGAATACCACTGTCTCCATGAACCTGCATAAGTCAATGCCAAAGCAAGACATAAATAATGAACTGACAATCAACACTATATTGTTCATAAGAACAACTCTAAGAGAGGTACCTGCATGAGAGAACATATAGTAATACAATAAAAGACGGACTTAAAACCAACATGCATGACAGGATGTATCACGGTGTCCACCAACAGCACCGAACCAAACCAAACAAAATAAAAACCAAATGGTGTCCATTACCAAGGCCACACATGACCAACAAACGAGCGATAGCAGTTTTTACTATAGGCCTGATAAGCCCATTAATTTCTTTTGTAATTGGTAGTGCAAAACGACCTCGACCCAATCCAGTGTCTAATAAGATACTAGCATGGTGTGATTCATGTCCAAAGTTTTCTATTCCTCCTCCGGCTCCTTCGTCGACTTAATTGGATAGCCGGACCACCTGCCACCACGCCAGAATTTCTCCGGCATGGACACTTCAAGTTAGAATAAGTGATTAGGGAACAGTCATAATGTAATAATGTCTAATTGTCATAAATGCATCTTACCATTTGTCACTAAAATACTCGCCTTTATATAGGTGGGTGGTATTTGATCGTGCAACATATTTCAATCTAAGTCGTTCGGCCACTAGCCTCTGTGAGCCCAACCCAGAAGTCGACCTATTAACCAACCTTTCTTATTCTGATCGTGCTTTGTCCCGTGATGAGGATAAGGTAGCTCGATATACCGTCTTTACCTAGTAGAGAACCTGGGTCGAGTGATTACCACACGTTGACTCGGTCTAGTAGTGGCCCCATTTCACATCTCTACGACACTTTTCTTCATATACAAAAGTGTCACATTTCTACTTTTATAATGGACCAGACTCGGCTATTTTTTATAGTAAAACTTCTTGGTCTCATTAATTTGTGTATTTTCACCAGCTCGAAAGAGCTAAAATACTTGCACAAATTTTGGACCGCCGCAACATATTTTTTTTATCCTTTTCTCTTTTATTTCAGATCCACTCTGCATTTTCCCAACCACGAGCTTTAAGACCAAATGGGTGTGCACGTATCGAGCTCCACCGAAAGAAGCTAACTCTAGTCCATTCAACAGGCCTTGTAATCAACATTATTATTGGAGACTCGAAAACTCAGATTGGTTGTAAACTCCAAATTTTCTCCTGTGGGGGAGATCATGATAGCTCTCAATCCTAGACCTCGATTTTCTACTGAAGTGTATACGTAGACTTGCCACTTTTTTTTTTTTTTTTTTTTTTTTTTTTTTTTTAACTTCAGCTCCTATTTCTTCTTGCATACCTGGGCCTTGATAACTCTCGGAGGTTCATAGTTGATTAAATTCTCGCTCAGCTCAAATGCCCATTTAACAATCCTTCCGGATACCGCAAGTCATCCCAAGGTCTCTTGTAGTGGTAGGTTGGTCCAAACATAAACCTTATGAGTTAGAAAGTGTGGACTCGATTTCCTTACTGTGATCACCACTGCAAGAGCTCGTTAATCGACCTCCAAATAACGCACCTCAGCTCCTTGCAACATCCTGCTCACATTATAAATTAGCATTTGCATGCTCTTGTCTTCCCGTAATAGCACAATGCTCAAAGAAACCTGTCTAATAGAGATGCATAATACAAAATTTTTTCCTTCTACCGACTTTAACAAAGCGGTAGGTCGGTAAGAACGACCTTAAGCTCGTCAAAAGCTCTCTGCCCCTCATTCGTCCATGCCAACCTGGTGCTTTTATTCAATGCATTGAAAAGAGGCTTGCTCCTCTCAGCCACCTTAGAATGAACTTGCTCAATCCTGTAATCCTTCCCGTAAACACCTAAACCTCCTTTATACTCTTGGGAGATCCCATTTCAAGAACATCTCGTACTTTCTTGGGATTGACCTTTATCCCCTCTTCGTGACTATATATCCCAAAACATTCTAGAAATGCCTCAAAAGCACACCTGGTTGGGTTAAGTTTCATTCTATACCTCCTCAGAGCTTTGAACGTTTCCCTCAAATTAGTTATGTGGTCTTCTTCTATTTTAGCTTGGATGATCTTGTCAACCAACTTTTGGTACGTAGCCCCAACATTCTTCAACCCCAATGGCATGACCACATAACAATAGGTCCTCTTCTGATAACAAAGCTCACATTTTTCTTATCCTCCTCAACTAATAGTATTTGATGATAATCCCGCGATGCATCAATTAATATTAGGAGCTCACACCCGACTTTGGGGTAGACCAGTTGGTCGATTCTGGGAAAAGGGTAGTGGTTCTTTGGGAAGGCCTTATTCAAAACCTAAAAATCGATCCACATTCTCCACTTGAACCTTTTGGTCAAAAATCACTGTCTAAAATATCGGCCTAGGCGCTAGGCGGTGCCCGGGCGCCTCTGATTTGCACAAATCGGCAGAAAAAATCGGCCAGGCGGCTCGGCGGCACCTAGGCAGCCCTAGGCGCTCCTAGGCGGACTTGGCGGGCTCGACGGCCAGGCGGTTAGGTGGTGCCTAGGTGGGCATAGGCGGACCTAGGCTCTCCTAGGCGGGCTCAACGGCAAATTTTCAGTTTTTTTTATTTCTTATTTTTAAATTCTAATTACATTATTTTGTTCTCGTGTTTTCTTTAAATATATTAATATTATTATTTGGACTTAGGTGTGCGGATTTATTATAAGTTGAGATAGTTTTATTTTGCAGGTAGTTAAAATAAATAAAAAATAAGGTATTTAATATTAATTTCTAGGCCCCGCCTAGGCGCTCTAGGCGCTAGGCGCTGGTCGAGCGCCTAGCGACTTTTAGAACACTGGTCAAAATTCAACACGTGCTTAATAATGGTAGCTTCTATGCTTGTCATCTCATCTGACGCCAAGGCAAAGATATCTTGAACTCCTTGATGAGGTCGATGACTTCACCTTTCAAAGGTTCGACCAAATTTCCACCTATTTTTATCTTCCTTCATTCTACACCTTCCACATGATGGACCTCCACCAGATCTTCCTATGGCTACATCTCGCCTTTCTCATTTTCTAGTTTCTACTTGACCACCTCTTTACTCGAGTTGCTGCTACTTCAAGCCAGTTCATGCCTTGCTTTGACAGTCATTTGACAACACGAACTTGACTTGAGTTGGTCGCACTCGACCTCTCTAACCAACTCACCTAGTGGGTACTTAATTTTCATGTGTTATGTAGATACCACCGCTTGAAACGATTTTATGCTCGGTCATCCCAATATGATGTTATAGGCCGACTATGCTTTCACCACCGAGAATCTCACACTTTTTATCTTCTGGGTCACACTCGACCCCAATGCTACTTGCAACGTGACATCGACCATGACCTCACCCCATTGAATACTTCAAAGTTGTCCTGACCTCTTTTAAATATACCTACAACTCCAATTGTTTAAAACAATCATAAAGCAAAACATCCACCGAGCTTATTGTATCAATGACTACCCTCTGCACCTCATACC